TCATTCTCATCGTCGTCGTCATCATCAATGTATCGATTTAGGGTTTAGGGACAGGCACCAGTGCAGTCATACAGCAGCACAGTGAGAACACCCGTCGGACTCCCATGCATGCTTGTTTGGAGGCCGTCTTGACCTCAGCATTTTGCAGTGCTCAAGGTTTCAATCATGGAGGGGGGACCCGGGGCCGACCCGGCAGCGATCAGGAGGTTCAGGAACAGGTCAACCCGTGGGTCGACACTTGAGAAGCTGAACCAGACGAGGCAGTCGACGCAGGTCAGAGTGAATGAGCCGGGTCCAGAGAATGACCATGACCTTGACGCCCTGTCGGCCAGGCTTGACAGTGTCGAGGGCTTGGAAAAAGCCATTCAGGCACATCTCTTCGGAGTGGAGGAGCGAAGCAGAACAAGCTTGGATAACAAAGTGCAGGAGATCATGAGGCTTTTGGAGGAGATACTGGAGACCGTAAAGTCCAAGGCCGCTGCAGATTTGCAGACCTTGGGATGCTTGGCGGAGGTGGAAAGGGACATTGTTTCTGCCGTGGCCCGTACCAAGCCCCTGCCCGAAACCCGAAGCGGGGACCGATCTATCCAAAGACCACGGAGGCCTATCCAAAAAGCTGACAGAACCTACTAGAGTCTGACCGGACCTTGAAAATTCAAGCCTCACAAGGAAACCTCTCAACGCCCCAAAGCCTGAACTCCGAAGCCGTTCATCCTTGAAGCAAGGAACCAGCGAAGAGGTGGGGCTGGGGGCTCGGAGGTTTGGCTTCAGGGGTCCAGGCTTTGGGGTTTGGGGGTTTAGGGNNGGGTTCAGGGGGTTTAGGGTCTAGGGTTTAGGGGTTTAGAGGTTTAGGGGTTTAGAGGTTTAGGGTTTAGGGGTTTGGGGGTTTAGATCCGCAGGGTTTATGGCTCAGGATCTGGGATTTCGTTCGGGCTCCAGAGTCGGAAAGACCCTGAACCTACACCCCGAATCCCCCATCCATGCTGCAGATTGAGCTTCGACCTGAACCCCGAAGCCCTATAATCCAAACCCTAAACCCTAAACCCTAAACCCTAAACCCTAAACCCTAAACCCTAAACCCTAAACCCTAAACCCTAAACCCTGAACCCCAAACCCTAAACCCTAAACCCTGAACCCTCAGCCCTAAGGGCCCCAAACCCGAACTGCACACAGGTGAAGCCCCCGGAGATCTCCCCGCGATTTGCAGAGCTGCCAGCACTCCCTTTTGGGAAGTCCGTCGACTTTGAAGAGGCGGGAAGACGAATCGGAGTTCGGAGTTTGGGTTTCGGGTACTATCAGACCTACTATCAAGGTCCTAAACCCTAAACCCTAAACCCTTAACCCTTAACCCTAAACCCTAAACCCTTAACCCTAAACCCTAAACCCTAAGGCAGTGTAAAATCTTGAAGACAGGACCCTTGCGTGGAAGAGCCGCACAAGGAGGAGTCGACGGTGCTGCAAGGTGTGACGACCTCTCTGTCCCGGGGCCATCCTTCAGCCAAGTTTCGGAGACGTGCATGCGGTATTTAGGGTTTAGGGTTTGGGGTTTAGGGGTTTGGGGGTTTAGGGTTTAGGGTTTAGGGATGCAAGAGACGAGCGGAAGCATGCATTTTTTCCACGTATACGTGTAAGTGCACTCAAACGAAACCCGAAACAATACAAAGTCCCCCTAAGCATCCAGCCCTAAACGAACAACGAAAACGATAATCGCCAAACCATATCCTCAGCAAACCCTCATAAAGATCTGATGGGATTCCCCTAACCCCTAACCTTCCTCAACCCTACACCCTAAAACTAGACTAAGAGAACCCAATACTCCTTCATTAAGGAATATACTTTGAATCATAATATTCAGGCCCCATAATTGAAGGTATATTCCTTCATTAAGGGGGTATTGGGTTCTCGGGGGAGACCCCCGGTAACACCCATCGCTTTCCTCAACCCTAAACCCTAAACCCTAAACCCTAAACCCTAAACTTTCTCAACCCTAAACCCTAAACCCTAAACCCTAAACTTCCTAAACTTTCCCTAAACCCTAAACCTAGAGACCCTCCGGTAAAACCCGTCTTTTTGCACTCCAAAGGTCCGACTTCGGGCTCCAGAACAGCCATTCAACGATCCTCAACGACGAGGCCGGGCCGCCACCCCGTTGCAGGGGGTAGGGTTGAGGGCTTAGGGTTTAGGGTTTAGGGTTTAGGGTTTAGGGTTTAGGGGCTTCAGGAATCGACGCCTTAAAGGCTTTAGGGCTTTGACTAATGAGATTTTCGGCTTTGGATTCAGGTTTCGGGGGCTTTGTGCGCGAGGTTTTCGCACTTTCCGGGTGTATGATTCGAGGATGGTGGGATTCAGAGCCCTAAACCCAAAACCCTAGACCCTAAACCCAAAACCCAAAACCCAAAACCCCTAAACCCCTAAACCCAAACAACCCCAAACCCCTAAACCCCAA